AGGAGAGAGCAAAACTCTGCCTGCCTTCTGGAAAATGTATGAGAGCGAGATGTGGAGATGTGATCCAGGCAGCAGCCCGTATCCTTTCTGTCTCGTAATGGAAATGTGACATGGTGCAGTGAATACGTACAAACCGGCTGACTCTGCTCACAGGAATGCGAGTAGTCATCCTTGTGTAGGGAACGAAGTAAAACACTTTCTAAAGGTTTCACTTTGATATTAAACATTAAAATCATAACTTAGAAAGGAAACAGAGAAATGAAGCAGAACAGGAAATATAACCTCAGAAATAACTTCCTGACATGGAGCCTTTTTATCACAAATGAGTTAGTTTTACATTTTTTTTTTTACTGTTCTCCCAACAGGAAACATTTCCAGGGACTTTTTGCACTGATGGATTTCATACTGAATAAATTTGTTAAAGAGAAAAAATAACTGAAAAATTATCATTTATCAATCTGGAAAAAGGTTAAAGCCTAATTTCTGAGGCTTCTGCACAGGAAACTGGCTGAGTCATTTTTCCAAAGTCAAAAGCATTTAATCAAAAAGCAGTTTTTTTGCTTTTTATTCTTTGATTTGAAGGAGTGATATTCTGAGTAAGAGTGGGAGGAAATTTTTAAAGCAATCAATATAAAGGAGGAAGCTTAAGTGAAGTTCTGATTTCTTCACCATATTGGTTTTAGGTTATCTATGGTGAGCTGACGAGTTTTTCAAAGAGCTGGACTTTTGCAAACGATAAAAGATGTGACTTCTAATTGATCTGAGGAATTTCTACTCCTCAAAAACAGATCTATCAAAACAGTATTTTCTTTTTTTTTTAAGATCGGGACCAAATGTTATCTCAGTCTGACAAAAATTTTATTCAGTTTGAATAAATTTCTTGTTTGGAGTCTAGACCAGGCAATGAGAACCATTATCCTCAAATGGAGAGAACCTATGACTGGAAAACTTTACTAGAAGTGACTGTTCAACCCAATTACTAAGCACCTCATCCTAGAAGAGAACCTACAGCTTTGCTAGTTTTAATGCTTCAGTTAAGGTCAGAAATCATTCAACAAGAATCATAAGAGACACCAGACAAAAATGGTCACTTTCAAGGGCAAACTCACAGTTGATCCAAAAGAACACAAAGATATGTCTCTCATATTTTTCTTGCAAAATAAAGCCATATCTCAATTATCCCTGAGATAATTGTGAAAATTTTCCGTAGACTAGTGAGACAAAAAAGTAAAATATGCATCTACTTACATTTGGTGTAAAACATAACCTTTTCAGAACCAGAAAATAATTCACACAATGATTCCGGTGGAGGTAGTGTGATGGTGTGGGCTGCTTTGCTGTTGCAGGATATGGAGGACTTGCTAGAGTTAATGGAAGCGTGAATTCTGCTCTTTTAGCCCCTGTGACACCTTGAAGTTTTAGCCAGCCTGACGTCCCAGAATCTCCTAAAATGTTGGCATATGCAGAACTTTCTATGTATTTTTAAAATGTTTGGGGTGTATAAATAGAGTATTCACAACGAGTCCAGAACTTATGTCCAACAACAGCCTAACTTATGCATAACACACAACAGTGTAATGCCTAGTAATGTGTAATGTGTCTAGAGGGGGGCAGCAATGCGCCCGGAGGCACCTGGCCTGCATAAAAGACTTCTTTGATTGCGGTATTAACCTAATTGCTGTTTAATAAATAAATCAATAAAAAGAAAAAAGAAAAAGACAGAAAGAAGGTTTGCAGTTGCAGCAGATTCAGGGTCATGTCTGCAAGGAAGTTTTTTGGTAGTGGGTGTGAACGCAGGGAGGATCCATCACACTCACCTTTATGCTCACCCTATGATGGGGATGAAGTCTGGAGGAGAACTTTAATCCCGTCAAACCCCTTTTATACCAAAACGCTGCCAATTCGCCATTATAGAGTAGCTGTAAGTCCAGCGGTCATCTAGGACATGTCAGATATGTTGATATTATGAGTAACTTACAATTAACGTATGTCAACGATCAGATACATTACCTGTAATTTATGGCCCATGTATAAGCATACACTGGCATGCTCAACGTATTTGCCGTATGTTGACATATGCCAGCTGTTTCAGCGTGCTCAAAACTTATACAAAACTGACCCATAACTTATCCAATGTATGTCAAAGTTTCTGCCATTTTTTTTTTTTTGTGTGCCAGTTTTTCCGTACGTCAGGCATATGCTGGTCTAAATTGTCAAGGTGTGACAGAGGCTTTAGTAAAGAATCCTCAAAGAAAATGCCTGACGATCTGTTTCTAGCCTCCAGATCACAAGATAAAGACCCAAGGAACCTCTGAATGGCTTAATAAATAAATTAATAGATAACTAAAGTCAAGTCCCAACGATCTCTGACAGTGATGCTGTGAATTGGGCTTAAAAAAGTTGTTTCAGAAAGAAAACCCTCCAATATGCTTGATTTAAAATCAACTCTAGAATGCAGAGTGGCTTTAAAAGGATTCCTCATAGTTGACATGAACGTTAGCTAGATGCTGCTACCAAGAAAGAATAACAATCTCCTTATTGTCTTCTGGAAAAGGAGAAATTAATCCCTCTTTTTACTTATTTTTTCAAGGCAAGGCTGGTTTGGATAGAATTATTCTCTTTATTACTTTACAATAGTGATAGATAATAATTATAGTTATGATAGTTATGCTGAAAATGGTACATTAGAGACCACAGTTTGAAATTTTACTTTTATAGAAAATGTATCTAACATTTAGGTAATATGGTGTCATACTTTTATTAGTATTTAATGAACAAGAATGGAAACATCCTAAAAGCTGGTAAATAGCAGGTGCTTTTGATGTGAGATTTCAATTTATATTGAAAATATATATTTCAAGTATAAAACGAATATGACTGAAGTTGATGAAAATCAGGGTTTGCAAGTAATGAATTACATTTACTCAAGTTACTGTAATTGAGTACTTTTTATGAGTAAGTTGTAATTTTCTGAGTAGTTTTTGAATTATGTAATTTTTACTTTTACTCGAGTAAATTTTAACCTAAATAGTTTTACTTTGCTACATTTAAAACCCCCTCACGTTACTGAGTAAAAAAAAATAAAAAAATACTGATGGTGAAAAAATGAAATGTGGCCCTGCCTTGCATTTACCCTTTGTATTGTCTCATAATCCAGCGCTGCGCTTCAGAAGATGGCAGTTGCTAATCACAACTTAGGGAGTACGGATGAGGAAAGGCCTGAAGAAGAAACATATTCTGGAGACGAAAGCCAGAAAAACCATCGGCCATATTTGGACGGATTATTTGTTTTCAAATGCACAAAAGGGAACAATGTGATAATGCAGTGCAACACGTGCCTGCCCAACAAAACTGAGCTTTCGGCTTTTAAAACATCAACATCCAGTTTACGTAAAAAATGATGCGGTAAGTTCGTTATCATGGTGTTGTCTGTTGGACAGTAGGATTAAAAATTGTTTGCACTTTATGGTTCAGGTTGTGACTGTCCTTGTGCTGTGAGGAAGTATGTTCCTTAGCCCAGCTGATCTTTTGCAAGTGTGGATGTCCACTGAAAAACGCCTTGAAATTGATTAAAACACCTTGTGGTCAATTCGATTCATGACTCATCCTTTTTTTGCATTAAATAACTCAAAGTAACTAAGTAACTTTTACTCAAATTACATTTTAAATGAAGTCATTTTGTACTTTTACTTGAGTAAATTTTGAGATGGGTAATTTTTAGTGCTGTCAAAATTATCGCGTTATTAACGCGTTAACGCGTTAACGCCATTTTAACGGCGATAATTTTTTTAACGTGAGATTAACGCTATGTGGTTTTATGGTACAATTTTCCAAGTACATCCCGCTGCAGCCTGCGGAAAGGCGGGGCTATTTTCCCCCAGTGTATGCATTTCTCATAGGCTTCGAGAGCGGAGCTCCTCAAGGAAAAAAGACGCTCATACACTGGGTGACTCTAGTGCCTTTTCTTTAAGCCCCACCACCAACAAACAAGTTGAGTGTCTGGTAACTAGTAGCAACCTGAAATACGCTGAGAAAACAGATTACTGAGGTGAAATGGAATCTGCTACGGCACTCTTGCTGTCTGTGTACGCCACAGGTCAGTATCGTGTGTGTGTGTGTGTGTGTGTGGGTGGGTGGGTGCTTGTGTGTGTGTTCTCATTTTTGTTAAGAGGCTGAAAAGTAACTTTCTAGAGCATAGACTACCTCCATCTAGTGATGTCGGTCTATTGATTTTGATGTATTGATTGAAAATTGTTCATTATTATCTTGGTTAATTAACATCTAATGTTAACTGTACTACATTTTATAGCAGTAGGGTAAAATGCTTGTCTTTGTTCAAAAGACTGTATTAACTTTAAAGACTGTCTTTTACATCAGCCTGTTTTCAGGGCCTTTTTGTTTTGGCTACATATTTGTTATTTTTTGCTACATGCCTCCCCATCTTCTTGCCATATGTTTCTATGGCATAAATCAGTATCTGTGACCTGTTCTCATTTAAAAAAAAGAACATTGGCACAAACCTAGCCTGTATGTATTTTTTTGTATGTCATGGACAGTATTTAAATGATTTTCAATCAGGAAAAAAATGTGCGATTAAAATGCGATTAATCGCGAGTTAAGTTAGGCATTGATGCGATTAATCGCGATTAAAAAAATTTAATCGATTGACAGCACTAGTAATTTTACTTTACTCTGAGTAGAATTTAGGCAAAGTAAAGATACTTTTACTCATTAAAATTTTTTAGTACTCTTTCCACCTCTGATGAAAATCTGAGTTTGAACACTGTCTTATTGAAATGGTAATGAGGAAACTAAAAAGGCTTTAGTTGTAATTCCTAACCAAAGAGCTGTTTTCAAAAATCAGCAAATTTTCTGACGATTTTTCTGAATCTGATCTGACTGTGTTGATATTTCACCAGAAAACAGAGCCCACTAATTGACACCAACAGCTGATTGTCATCAGAAACATACCGATTAGCCGAAAGATGACCGTTACTCACCTCGGTCTGTGTCGTACAGGAAGACAAACTTATTCCAGTCGTAGTGGTCGAGTAGGGAAAGCAGCGCCCCCCGGATGGACGGCCGGAGCTGCAGGGTGAACTGGCTCTCGCCCTCAGTGGGGAAACTTGGCGTAATGAGGGAAATGTGCAGGGCGCTGCAGAAGGACGTCAACGTGTGGACTGAGCGCTTGTCGTACAGGCCGAAGATGGCGAAGACACCGCGGGAATACTGCGAGCAAACTGGAGGAAAAAAAAAAAAAAAAAAGAGTTCATAATTCAAGTAACAAAGAGAAAAAGAAATGAAATTAATTCTCTAAATAGTGATAGTTAAAATAAAGACTTAAAAACTTTATTTTTGAATGGTTGTGGAGTAGAGATTTGTCAGTTTACTCCTCCAGATCCTATATGTGTGTAAAGAAGAAAAATGGCTGTTTTTTTTTAAGCAGTTTTGTAGGTGTCGATAGCTGTAGACAGAAAGGATCTTCTGTACTGGTCTGTCTTGATTCGGATCTGCAGAAGCCTCTTACTGTTTATAAACTTTCTGAAGAGGATGCTATATTGTTCATAATTGTATTCCGCTGGACTTCTTAATTAGGTTGCTGAACTTTTTTTATTCATTAGCTCTAATACTGTTACCCCAGCAGATGAGGGAAGAAGAGATAACACTCTGAACAACTGATTTATAGAAGATATGTAGGATCATGCACATGTAGAAGTGTTATCAGGAAAAAACCTCAGTCCATCACTCTACAGATATGTTCATTCCCAAGAGGAAAAATTCTCCAATCATCCCAGTAGATTTCATCAGAATGTGAAATGACCAAAATCCCACCAGCTCCATCTCAGACGGTAAAGGCCTCAGTTTTTAAGCTACGAAGAAAATAAACAAGTTTTACAAACAAGTTATGTGTTTGGAAAACTTTCCTCTAAAAAGATGAAATTGTAAAAATCCAAAACTAAAGTTCACACTTAACCATGAATTGACAAGAATAAACTTTATTCTCCCAAATGTGAAAAAAATGTGGTTGAAAAGGGTTTAATCAACAACCATTCCCACATAATTACACAAACACCTTAATAAAAGCAAATAAAGACATAAATTAAATGCATACAAGCCACTAAAAGAAAGCTGGATTCTGTTAAGCTGATCCAGTAAACAGCTGTCATTTTAAGAATTGTAGATTTTTCCATGCAAGTGGAACCTTGAACTTTCTGCCTGATTGTGGCAGCAATATATAGGGATAAAAAATGAGACGGATCCGTTGTAAATGGCATGTACTTATATAGCACCTTTTTTCAAGTCAGGAGACTTGACCAAAGCGCATTACACTACATTCATTCACCCATTCACACACACACTCACACACTGATGGTGGCAAGCTACATTGTAGCCAGAGCTGCCCTGGGGCTAGCTGACAGAAGCGGGGCTGCCATACACTGGCCCCACCAGGCCCTCTGACCACCATCAGTAGACAATACAGGTGAAGTGTCTTGCCCAAGGACACAACAACAATGAAAGTCAGAGTCGGGGAACCGTCAATCCTTCTATTTAAGGGCAAACCCCTACATCCAACGCCACTGTCGCATCAAAGGAGGTGCTTTTGTTTTTGGGGCTGGTTGATGATAATAATCTTGGGGTCTTGTTCACGAATGAGGGGAAGATGGAGCGGTAGATTGACAGTCTGTACCTGTCTGTTGTGGTGAAGAGAGAGCAGAGCCAAAAAGAAAAGCTCTCCATTTTCCAGTTAATCTACGTTCCTACTCTCATCTATGGTCATGAGCTTTGGGTCATGACCGAAAGGACGAGATCCCTGATACAAGCGGCTGGAACAAGTTTTCCCCGTAGTGTGTCTGGGCTCTCCCTTAGAGACAGGGGGAGGAGCTCCAAGGAGGACTCAGAGTAGAGCCGCTGCTCCTCCACATCGAGAGGAGCCAGTTGAGGTGGCTCAGGCATCTGGTTAGGATGCCTCCCGGACGTCTCCCTGCTGAGGTGTTCCAGGCACATCCCACCGGGAGGAGGCACAGGGGGAGACCCAGGAGACACTGAAGGGTCTTTGTTTCTCAGCTGGCCTGCGAGCGCCTTGGGATTCACCTGGAGGAGCTGTCCCAAATGGCTGGGGAGAGGGACGTCTGGGCCTCACTACTGAAGCTGCTACCCCCACGACCCGACCCCGGATGGATGGATGGATGGATGGATGGACGGACGGATGGACGGACGGATGGACGGACTGTAGATCCCTGATGTCCTCCTGGTCTTTATTTTTGCGGTACTAAATTGTCCCAACACACCAATCCAATATTGGATCAATTTACTCGTATTTAGGTAGAGACCCTGTTGCCACTGCTGCCCCCTGTGCCTGATATTATGTGCTCAGCCAGCTCTAGACTGAGAGTTGTTTGGTAGAGAGCTAAGCACAGACAAGCATACTACCATAGCACTTTCTATTGGTCACTCTAAGCGCAGAACTTGAAGCAGAACAAGAGCTAACAGTAATCTCCAAAAAAATGCTCATCTAGGATGGCTGCGACAAAAAAAATATAAATAAATAACATGGTTAAATTCCAAAAATTAACTATTGGTTGGACTTTTAGAAAGAATATAAGCCATTTATTCTGTTTGTGGCTCATGTAATAATACAGTAATAACAGCTTTAAATCGAAAAGCATCTTTTAGAAGGATTTAAAGATCAAATGTTTATTCTTCTCCTAAATATAATAGGACAAATAAAATGGTATTCAATATTTCTTAAAATTTCAGAAAAGCAAGCTTTAAATCTTAGCAGAGGTCCTCCCCCAGGAGGTTTGAAGCTTGATTCGAGGGATCTCCCCCCTCATTTGGTTAAAGACTGTTGATTGCTAAAATATGTTGTGAAAAACACCAAACATAAGAAAAGCACCTAAACACAAAACATCATTACCTAACGGAAAATCACTTTATTTCATTCCATTAAAAGGTATCAGTGCAGCAGGCAGATCAAACCCGACGTTTCCTCTGACGCTCTCATCATGAAGCTGCTTGTTGTGGATATATTAACAGAAGACGTCGCGCTCACGCAGAAAAGCTTCATGGCACAAAAACAAACAGTTTTTATTGGTCACATTTTGAATTAAATTGCAAAGTTTGCATTTGCATAAAGTCTCCGCAAGCTTCAGCAAGCACACAGGCAGTCCGTCCTGCTTGAGGACATCTCCTCATTATAGAAAGGTTGGGCTCGCTGCAAGAGCCGCACTATAATTGCCCTCCTTTTTTCTTCTTCTTCTCCGCTCACAGAACAACAACAGGAAGATAAGATAATGAGCATCCTCTGCCAGTTTGTGGATACCAGCAGAAAGAGAATGGAGGAAGAGCTCAAGATGTTCCTGTTGTGAGAGAGAAACCGGGGTGGGGGTGGTGGGGTGGGGGGTAAACTAAGAGCAGGACTAGAGACACTGAGATGGTCTGCATCTTTTCTGATCCTCGTACAGAAGACAACCGTCAGAGAAACCAAGAGGAGAACAGCTCCTCTCCTGTTCTACACCCAATTAAAACACACAGCGGTGCAGACAAACCCACCTCAGCACAAGGAACAGAACCGGGTCTGATTGTTCTCTTCTCAGTGAGGAATGCTTTGACAGCGCAACCAGGGTTTGATAAAACTATGTCTTTATTAAACATAACAAAACAAAACATTAGACAGGAACAACTGGTCTGATTTACATCCAGAAATATAATCAGGGAAAGATTATATCCTATGTATATTTAATGTTTTTATTATCATTACTCGAAGATACATGATAAGATATCACTTACACCATAATAAACTTTTTGAAGAGTTTCAGTCTTGCTTTAGAGCTCATCATAGCACTGAAACAGCTCTGGTGAAAGTCACTAATGATATCCTCATGGCCATAGATAATGGACTTGTATCTGTGCTCGTCCTGTTGGATCTCAGTGCTGCAATTGATACAGTTGATCATATTATTCTTTTAGAAAAACTTGAATATTTAGTTGGAATTAAAGGAACAGCACTAGACTGGTTTAAATCTTATCTATCTGATAGATTATTTAAGTTTGTTCATGTTAATGACAGATCTTCCACATGCTCAAAGGTTACCTGTGGAGTACCACAGGGATCAGTGCTAGGACCAATTCTCTTTACTTTATACATGCTCCCAATCGGTAGAGTTATTAGACAGCATGGGATTAATTTTCACTGCTATGCTGATAATACCCAGCTATATCTTTCTATAAATCCAGATGAAGCTAACCCATTAGATAGATTACAGGCATGTCTTGAAGACATAAAAACCTGGATGACTCTTAACTCTCTCTTCTGAATGCAGACAAAGCAGAAGTATTACTATTACTACTATTACTATTACTACTATAATATTACTGGAGTGGACACACTGACAAAAAGTGCTTAGGATTTATAAAACTTAAAATAACTAAATAAGGATAATCAGTGCAGTTTACATGGCCTCAATGGTCCTTTAAACCCATGAAATGAAAACATTCAAATGTATGAAATTTCCCCTTTTGCAAATTACATGCGTCATATCAATTTCTTTTTTACCTTTTTTGTTTTTAAACCAAAATGCATCCAAACATCTGACTTGAAATGTGATGGAGCCACGAGAATTTTCTCAGCCTCCTCCATGTTTTGTTTATGAAAACTCGTCGCAATATCCCGCGGCCGGGAATGCTTGTGACACAAGGTAGCGGGCGTCAATACATCCAAAGCGACATCAACTGGACTGGAAGTTGCATTCCACTTGCTTTTGTCGGATGTGCACCAACCATTCATGTATTTTATTTGTTCATTTAAAAAAAATTAAGAATCGATTCCTGGCATCAAGAATCGATGCAGTAGATCACAAAAATTTCAATCCTGATGCATCGTCATGACGATTATTTTGCACACACCTAATTAATATCACTAAACATGTCTTAGTAACTGCATTTAATGAGATTCTCCCAAAGTAACACTGCTGCAATGAAAAACAAAAAGAAGACAAAAGGACTAAAATGGTAAAAATAAGTTTTTGGAGTTTTTAATTGATTATTTATTCAGATTTATTGTTCGTTATCAAAGCAAACCCTTCTTCCTGCAGATGTTGCCCAGATTCCCCCCCCAAAAAGTACCTTACATGCTAAAAAAAATCTAAGAGTAAGGGTTTTGCAAATGTCCCAGCTGACTGGATTATAAAAGTCCTGTGTTTTAAGTTCACACAGCTACCTGCAGGTGCACATGGGTTAC